CCGGCCGCCGGTGCACCCCGGTCCGCACCCCGCTGGGATCCCGCGTCGCGCTCCCGGACGCCGGCGGGACCCCGTGCGGTGCTGCGGGTCTCCCTTCGGCCGGTTCCCAGTCCCGCACCCGCGGCAGCTGTCGCAAACCGGTCGGGCCCGCCCAGACAGCGTCACGGCCCAGGCGGCCAATCCCGCGGACAGAGTCGCCGCATTGGCTGTGGAGCTGTATTTCTAGAGGTGCGGGTTTAGGTTCCGTGGGTGCCAGGCTCAGCGGCCGCACGTTTCTCAGCCTTCTGGTAATCAGCGGCTGCGGGATCCACACGTTTCTGGAGAGCCTCGTAGTTGGCTGAAAGCATCCTACAAACACGCATGACCCGCTCTGACCACTCCTGGCTTTGCACAGCTAGTAATAATATGGAAGTCATTGGCACTTTGGGGTTTGTATGTTTGTCTTGTTTTATTCCCTATTGTAGGTCCTAGATTGTTTACATAAACAGGAAGTAGTAGGGCTAGATACTTCTTTGACTCGTCCACGCATTCTGCCAGTGAGGGTGCCGGCCAAGCACATTTGTGGCCACAGAGCCACTGCTTTGCTTCCTCAGCCTCTTGGGCCTTTTCTGTGGACAGGCCTCTAAAGGTACCGTCGCTCTACTTCGGGGCTCACTTAATAACTGACAACCAAACAGCCACACTGGATTCTCCCGACACTATAATACCTAGATCGAAGAAAGCTTTGAAAGTGTATGTGGTGAGTCTGGGTTGAAACGTTATGGCCACGCAACTCATAGAATCCTACACATAGTTCTGGCAATCACGCAACAGTTTAGAACAAGGAGTGGACTAACAACAGCCACACAGAATTTGCAGCACTGAGTACAGTTAGGTATTATACATATATGATTTTCCAGTTAAATGTTTTACAAATTGTTTGCTCAGGACTTTTTCTTAATGACAGCAGGATTGCACAATCCTGCCGCACCCGATTCGGTTAAAAGGTTTGTTGACCCTACAAATAACTTCATTCACTTACATTTAGCCACATTCAACAAAGTATTTTTTGAGGTCCTCGCTTGAAATCCTATTGAAGCAGCAGGAAAACCATCAGTTGCAAGCCAGCCTAGACTATAATAGCAAGAACCTGCCTCAAAACACAACAAAATGTCTTTGAGAATCTGTTATGTGCGAGGTAAATACTAGTATTTATGGGCGTGAGCAACAATCTCAAAAGGCAATCATCCACACCTTAATACAGAATATTGAAAACCCTAAAGTCTAAAAATCTTAAAAATGAAAGAAAAATCTGGAAAAATTATTTTTTAAAGATCGTTTTATATTTTTAAATATTTTTTATTTTATGTGTATGAATGTTTGCCTGTATCTGTGTGTGTGCAGTGCCCACAGAGGCCAGAAGAGGGTGTCAAATCCCTTGAAACTGATGTTACAGAGGGTTGTTAGCCACCATGTAGGTGCTGGGAACTGAACCCAGGTCCTTTGGAAGAGCCATATCTCCAGCCCCAATATATTTACATTTTAAAAGATTAATTTTAAAAATGAAACAATACTATAACACCACTTAAGTAACTTTTCACAGTAAAATAGGCAATGATTGCATACATATTTTACAAGTATGTAACTAACGACAAGCACATAATGACAACCCCATGGGTGTAAGTTATGCGTGGATATATGGACAAATAGATCAGATGGTTGTGGGCCTGGCCCTAGACAAGACATTTATATCACCCCTTCTTAAGGCTCACTATGGAAGAAGGAGTGAAAAGAAGAGCTGGAAGATAGGGAGAAAGGCTGAAAAATACCATTGCAATCATAAACTCACAGCAGCTGTGATTGCTGGCACTGGGCCTGCAGGAGACTGGCCTTGCCAACAGTCAGCCACAGAAAAGAGCCCTACCCCTTACTACTAAACTACTGGCAGATTCCAGGACAAAGGGAATCATTGTCTTCAGTAATGTTCCCAATGGTAAGCCCACCAGGTTCCAATGGATAGTTCCAAACCCTGGTTAAATTCAGTGGGTCCCGAAACAAAACCAAAGTCATGAAGTCATGAATGGAAGAAAGAGATTTGTAGGGAAAGGGGGGGAGTGACAGAAGGGAGGAAAAGGAGGGTTGGAAGGGAGTAAGCAGAATGTATTATACGCATATATAATTTTCAATGCAAAATTAATCATAAAAATAGGTCAAAAGACAGATATTTAAATAGCATTCCACTGTTGTTGGCAATTATAGGCTCCCAACCTTAAAACTATGGTCATCTGAAATACCATAACCAACAATCTAAGCAGTTGACAAAATGTATCAAAAACTGAAAAGGCGGGGGGGGGGGCGTGCTGGAGAGATGGCTCAGCAGTTAAGAACACTGGCTGTTCTTGCAGAAGACCCGGGTTCAAATCCCAGCACCCACATGGCAGCCAACAACTGTCCATAACTCCAGTTCCAGGGGATCCAACAGCCTCTTCTGTCCTCCGCGGGCATTGCATGATACGGGTGCACTTATCTACACGCAGGCAATACACACATACACATAAAAAATGATTAAAATATTTTTTAAAAAACTGCAAAAGGTCTCTGTTGCATATGTAGTCATTCAAAGCGCTGAGATCTTGAGAAATTTATCTTTCAGAAATACAGGTGATCAAAATCATGTTGATATACTGAAAAAATTTCAGTGGTCTTAAAAATGCACCAACAATGTTTCCACACAAAATCAAAGTTATAGTAATAACACTTCCAATGAGTTTTTAAAATTTAAAACTAGCATGGAGGATTCCTGCAAGTTCAAGGCCAGCCTGGGATACATAGCTACACCAGGCTTAAGCAAGAGAGACCCCAAAATTCATAAAATATATTGGAACGCTCTAAAAGTCTTTATAAAATGCGTATCTCTACACGCGATGATGTGAAAGTAGAATAGAAACTATAGTGAGTTATGAGAAAAATCCTGACAACTTTAAAAAATGGGAAATATTTTAGCTAAGAAATTCAATATATATGAGCCAGAGTTGTTTCCCTCTCCCATGAACCTGGAGCTGTGGTCCCCTCTTGTGAACCCAGAGCTGAGGTCCACTACCATGAGCCTGGGTTGTGATCTCCCATGAGCTGGAACAGTGGTGCCCTCTGGTGAACCTGGAGTTGTCCCCTCCAGTGAATTAGGAGCTGTGGGCCCCTCCTGTGAGCTGGAGCTGTGGTCCTCCCTTACCTCCCTGTGAGCAGGAGCTGTAGTCCCATTTGTGAGCTGGAGTTGTGGACTCCTGTGAACTAGAGTTGGTCCCCTCACATAAGCTTGGATCCCTACAGTGAGCCAGAGTTCCACCTTTCTCTTGTTGAAGGCTGATGGTGAAGCAGAGTAGAGCATGGAAGACTTCCTGATGTTGGGCAGCAGTTTCAGTCTTCTCTGAGTGACCATATTCCCTACAGCCCCTTCTCTTGAGGTTGTACCTGGCAGATGCTTTGCTTCTTATGCTGGGGACAGGGGAGACCTCTATTATTTGCAGATTCTGGTCTTGGGGGGACTGATTCTCTGGAACAGTCCTCCCACCTCCCCTGAGGGCCAGCTGTGTTCTTCAATCCACACATGGTCCTGGGTATCCAGGCCTTGATACCAGACCTCTCCCATTACCAGATACCAAAAGGTTTTCCATTTTTTACAGTCCCAGTATGTCTTCACCTACACCCTAACTGAACTTCTAGAGATAAAAATCACAGTTTGGGAAGTTAAAGAAATGAAAAAAAGAAGGAAATAGAATGCTATAATAACTAAACTGATAAAATCACCAATGAAAAATATGCAATTATATCTTAGAATATAAAGTCGAAATTCTATGTCTACTATAATTTTTTAATATTGTTTGCTGACAAAACAGTACCACCAAGCTGCAGCAATAATGTGAAGTTTGTCACTGTTCCTATAATGTGAGTTTTCCACTCACTTCCTTTCCAAGTTCTCCAACTTATATAATCCAACCTTTCACAATCATTAGCCATATTTAAAGTCTTGCCTCTCAATTAATAGACATTTTTTTCTTCTATGACATGGCCGTCTTCAATATCTTCACATTCATTTTGTGCATGACACTGCTCTTTTTGCAATACTTCAATGATTCTTTAAATTCTTCTGATTCAATACTGCACCAACATGAATGTTCCCTATGAAATTTTCTGTGCCATGCTGCTGTGTTGCTTGGGGTATGAAGAAATGCATTCCATAGGCACTCAGCTATAGACAGAAGCAATGCTGGTGACTAAGTTTGCATGAGTCTTGTGCATGCTGACACCATTGCTGTAGGTTCATATGAGAAGAGTCCCAGGAACCTGGAGGACTATTTCCTACAGATTGGGCAGAAACAATTCTGGTAACTGAACAGCAACACCATTGCCTAAGTGTCTTCTTATTCTACTCTGCACACTGTCGAATGCCCCCCAAGCCCACCAGGCTTGGGTCTGCAAAAAAAGAAGAGTCAAGACAAAGGTCTTGATTTTATTATAAAAAATTTAATTCTTAGCAGTCAGGTGAGCAATCACAGAATGGCTTTTTTTCGTTGTGAGGAACACAGACCTTATATAGGAATCAGATTTGGGGTAACCAAGGTATCATCAAGGATAGTTTACTAACAGAAAGTAACTACAGACACAGCAGGTTGCTGCATTACCTCACCAACTCTGGTGCCCGAACCGAAACTAACTTTCTAGAACACTTGATTTAT